AAGGCAAGTGCATAACTAGCCAGTGTTAGTCAAGATGTGGTCCTACCCATCACTGTCTCATTCCAGTCTCTCCAGCGAGACTGCCTGGTAAAATGTTAGGACTATGTGAGATCTGTTTCGAGAAGACACTTTTCCCTGACTGGGATGGATCCCAGCCTTCTCCTTCCAGCATGAGATTTCTGGGGCCATTCCAGCTCTGTAAGGACCAGGAATGTCTTTTCACTAGTCTGTCAGCCATTTAAAAAAAAAAAAAGAGTAAAGTTTCTTTCAGAGTATCTTCGTTCTGCCTGGACTGTTACACCCACTCTACTTCCTCCTTAGGGTAGCTAGACCAGCTGTCTGTATTTTTACAGAGGGTGTCGCCCAGAAATTCCCAGAACCCTCCTCCATTACTAGAAGAGAAATCTGCTTCTCAAATAACAGTTTTGCCTGCTCTTCGTGAAGCCACGGAGCTCGCAGGCAGAACACCAGGCAGGGGTCTGTGAGGACCCCAGTCCAGCAGCTCAGTCTTCAGCAGCAGGGCCGCTTTTGACCTGGCCTTGATCTGGTCCCATTTCCAGAAATTTTTCCTACATATCCTCTCTGATGGTAGAGGGCATGTATAGAAGTGGCTGGAAAATTACCCCAACCTTTACTAGCCCCAGAAAGTTCATATTATTGTAATGCCTTCACTTAGATTAACAACACGGGATTGTCACTATAATTGGAAAGGATTCCAGCTCCCCAGACTAAACAACAGCAAGGCAGTTGATGTCGTTTGCCTGAGAAGCAGTTTAATGGTGGCTTCTGCCTATTGGCAATGTGCTCACCCAAGAAAGGAATGTTGAATGTCCTTTAAACCCCCAGGGCCAATCACCAGAAGAAATGATTCTAGCCTCTACCTAAGAAATCTAATTCTGGAAAAAAAAAAAAAAAAAAAAGTGAAATCTGAATTACAGTTATCCTCAGATTAATGAGGTCTGGGAAATGACAAACATCAATCTTTTGATAAGGGTGATCCAACCTGTTTTTATTTGTAGATTGTGTAATAGTATGTGGCAGTGTTGTATTAAAGTCAGCTTGTCTCAGCTAGTATGAGATGCAGGCTCTTAATAGGCCAAGACAGGTTTATTTGTGTAAGTCAGCCATCTCATTGTTCTCAAGTTCCTACGAGAGGCTTGGCGGGTCTGTAACTGATACTTAACGTGGGTACCTAAGGTGGGAGAAGAAATAATGTCCTAAGGCAGGTGAAAATATGTCCCGCGTTTCTGGTGATTTCTGTTCCTTCTGTTAGTGCCCAGATATGTCCACATCCCAATATCATTCACTGAGGCAACTCTGAGCCTAATAAATGCCTTTCCGAGAAATACTCCTTGATTGGATTTCCCAACTGATTCTTTCAGTCTTTGTCCACAAAAAGGTTCGTCTTCTTGTTTAGAAACAACACCAAACCCTGGTTTTGTGTTCATGGTCAAGTTAAGCCCACTTGGCTTCATTTTTAGTAATTCCCTGGTTCCTGAGAGCCTAAGGGAAGCATTGAGTGCCTGCCTGCCTGCCCGAGCAGGTACTCCCTCAAGCACAGCAGGGTGGGCCTCCACTGTCTGGATTCTACAGCTTTTAGTCTTCTGCTCACAAGGCCTCCAAGCTGAGGAGCATCTGCAGGCAAGTTGCTTATTGGGAAAGAACTCCCTTAAGTCCCTAGCACCTTTCAATAAACAACACCCTGAAACTGAAATTCACTTCCTCTTTGAGACAATGCACAATTAATCCCACATCAGTCAATTTACAGATGACCAGTAGAATAAAATGCTAAGCTGGGTGCCATGGAAAAAAACCAGAAAGTGCCTGAATTTTAAGGAACTTCAAGTAGTAATTCAATAAGGAAGGCATTTGGGAGGAAAGTGAATAGCTCAAGGCTTTGAGTTGGCACCTGGTGAGTTAAGAAACCACCAGGAGGGGCTAGAGAGGTGGCTCAGAAGTTAAGATCATGTACAGCTCTTGCGGAGGGTCAGAATTAGGTTCCTAGTACCTGCAGGGATTGGCTGGCCCGTTGCCTATAACTGCAGCTCCAGAGAACCCAATGCCTCTGGCCTCTGGGGATACCTGCACTCACATGCACATATCCACACACAGATACATACATATAAGTGAAAATAAGATAAATCTAAGAGAGAGAGAGAGAGAGAAAAAGAGAGAGAGAGAGAGAGAGAGAAAGCCCAGCAGGTACGAGGAGACCAGATAGGAAAGGCCTTGAAGCCAGTGTGCCACCAGTAGGACTGTCAACCAGAACAGCAGCACCGAAGACTGGCAGACACATGCTCAAGGAGAGTGGAAACATGTCTAACATTGAAAGTCACTGTTTGGATAGAATGTTCAGAGATGTGTGCTGGAAACTCCGGCTCTAATCTTGAGTCCCAGAAACAGAACCACCATGTGATGAGACTCTCAGAACCCTGCCCTGTACAAAAGCACATGTAAGGTTGGGTCCAGGAGGGGCTGAAATGCAGCCCAGTTTGGTTCACCTGTAGCTTCTTGCTAGGCTGTCTGTGCTCAGAGCAAGGTACATTTATTTATCCCTGCCGAGCCCATTATCAGGAGAGCCACCTTCTGAGTGGTTTTTAGGAGTAGCAGCTCTTTCCATACAAGACAGCCATGCCTCTGCCTCCGAGAGGCAGTCTGACCTTGTGTTGAATGTAGGAAGTATTAAAGTGGATGGTGAAATGAAGTCATCTCCCACATAAAAGAAGTCAGTCTCCCTACTGAAACAAGGGTGTGTGTGTGACGCGAGTGCGTGAGTGTACCTTAGGGGTTAAAAAGAACAGGGGGGGGGAGGCAGGAAAGATGGCTCAGTGGTTAAGAATACTTGAGTGTTCTCCCAGAGGTCCTGAGTTCAATTCCCAGCACCCACATGCAAATATCTGTAATGGGATCTGAATCCCTGCTCTGATGTTCATGAAGACAGAACACTCATACACATAACATGAATAGAGAGACCAGGCAAAGATGACCTGTCTTAGTTAGGGTTTCAATGACTGTGAAAAGACACCATGACCACAGCAACTCTTACAAAGGGAAAGATTTAATTGGGGCTGCCTTAGTTCATTGTCACATGGTGGGACATGGCAGCGTGCGGGCAGACATAGTGCTGGAGAAGGAGCTGAGAGTTCTACATCTTGATCAGAAGGCAACAAGAAGTGGACTGTGACACAGAGTGGCTTGAGCCCGCCCCCACAGTGACACTCCTCCAACAAGGCCACACCTACTCCAACAAAGCCACATCTCCTAATAGTGCCACTTTGGGGGCCATCACTGCTTGGCCTCAAAGGCTCCTAACACTTCCTCAGCTCTTCAAGACCACAAATTAAATTGGCCCTGAGGTTCAATAAAGTACTTTTCTCTTCTAAAATTTTAAAGCAAAGCATTTTTCTTTCTACTATGTAAACCAGGCTGGCCTTAAACTCACAGAGATATGCCTACTTCTACATCCCAGGCACCTCCACACCTGGCTCAATCTTTGTCATGTAAAGCAATATGGTGTGGACTCAGCCCTTTTAATACACCTTGATAAAAAGCTGAAGGAGGAGAGGGTTGGTCTCTATCCTTCAGTATTTGTCTTCTTGGAAAAATGAGAACTACTAACTACAAAATGAGAATGCCAGCCGTTTTGGGGATTTTGCTTGTCAGATACACTCCGTCTCGATTTCAGTGCCAGGATATAATTCCCACTGGGTGTGTCCTGCAGTGTCTGGTTAGTGAGCACACACAGAGCTCAGCCCACCTGCATGTTAACCTTCACACCAAGAACAAATACCAAATAGGTGATAAATTAGTATGAAAATCAGCTAATGCGTCACAGCAATGCCATTTTATTGGAGCTGATTTTAAGCTCACTTTTCCAATGTCGTTCTGGAAACCTCAGAAGTACGTCTCCTGAATTTTTATGGCATAGGCTAAGATCAAAGACAGTCTGGACCATGAATACCACCTTTGTTCTCCTCCAGTTTTCCTTCCTTCCCACTTCCCATGTAGAAAATCATCCCACAGCAGTCTTCATCCACCAACTGGTGTGCTTGCTTCATCCAGCACCCTGGCAGTCATCCATTTGTTGGTTCAGTGAGCAAACCCTCTTCATTTACCTTCTTCTCTACTCTCTTCCTGTCTCTTTTATCAAGGCGGGCTTAGTTTTTCCATAGTCTGTTGTTCATAGCCCACTCCCATGCTAGACTCTGTACTGAATGGGTTAATATAAAGAGAGTGCACCCTGCTTTGGAACTCCCACATGAAATAAGCTGAATAAGTGAGTGTGTCAGGGGTGGGGAGAAGGAATGGATGGATGGATGGAATGAATAAATTAATTAAAAAAGGAATGTGTATACAAAAACAAAAACCTTATGAAGGGACAGAACTGAAGTAGATTTGAGCTCTGTGGGCAAGACATTCAGTGAGGGCCTCAGATTTCCTACCTATAAAATGAAGGTTGTAGTTACTACTTAGCCTGGGTGGCTGTAAAGATTAGAGTCTGTACATTGCTTAGGGAAGTGCGTAGTTAAAACAACAACCCAAAGTGGGACCGTCATAAGTACAACAAAAGGTGATAAGTGACATAAGAGAAGTTCAAACAAAGAGGGTGGGGGTTCCCAGCACCTGCAGGAGGCCGCCCATGCGTGTGAGCCTTGCGCCTGCGCACAGGGCCTCTCCCAGCCTCCAGGTGATCTGCTGCCCAGCACCTGCCTTGGCTGGACAGAGCTGAGCAGCCTGGGGCCACAGGCACAAACCCGGAGCCGGGCGGTCAGACATTTATTTACAAGTGAAGCAGGTGTCACCTGCAGCTACTGCCATTGAGGCTCCCGCAGCCGTAGCCGTAGCCTTAGAATGGAGCCTGGGAAGGACCACAGCTGTCAGAGTTGACAAGGCTGCCAGTGAGGAATGAAGATTATTCCCCTCCCCAGAACTCACTTTGTCATTTCTCCCTCCGCCTTCCTCTGGATGCCTAAAGTGAAGAGGTTCTTTCTCTTCTCCAGCTCGGAGGCTGAGAATGGTGTGGAGGACAGAAGGAAGAACAGCAAGTCGCCAACAGCACAGTCCCCTACCTCATGGGTGGAGGCCGAGTCCCCAGACCAGAAGAGAAGCATTGGCCTGTGGTGAGTCTTCAGTGGACCCTTTCTTCCCGGGCTGGTAGAGAGCACTGCTATTTCTAGTTTTATGGTTGTGGTTTACAGTGGGGCTCAACCATAGGCAAATCATGCCTAAGGCAGCATGGCCCTGGTCTTTGCCCTGACCTCTCATGTCTTCCTTGTGCTCCTGCTCCCCAGCCTCTGCAAAAGAGCTGCCTCTTTCTGGTAACGCTGATTTGCTGACCCAGGAAGCCAGCGAGCGAGCAGGTCTGTTGCCGATGCAGAGGGCACCCACTGTCTGCCCAGCCACCACTTAGGCACACCTGGCCCTCCCTTTCTTGCCTGGGAGCCACAAGAAGGAGCCCAGATCGCATTCCAGGGATGTGCTGAGCTCCCCATGTCCTGTGACGGAGCTGTGAAGGAGACCTGGTTTGACTGTGAGGCAGGAGGGGTGATGGTGTGTTTTAATACAGAGCTGTAGGCTTCATCACTCTCAGACAAAAACTGCCAGGGGAGCTTAGAGATATCTGTGGCCAGAGGAATAAGTTTGAGAAGTTTTGTTGGTGGTGGTTATTTTTTTTTTTTTTTTTTTTTTTTTTTTTTTTTTTTTTTTCTTTTTTTTTCTTTTGGTACTGGGGATCAAACCTGAGGCTGAACACATGAGCTACATCCCTGATCCTAAATGTGGATTTTAGAACTCTCCACTGAGGGAGAGTGCTCTCCTCTCCATTACTGTAACTGTTAGAACCGCTGCCTTCTCCCACCTTTGACCTCTGCCAGGAGACAATTCCCCAAGTCCTACATTCCCCTTCGTCTGCACCTGTAAGTCCTTTCTAAGCCAATGCCTGCGTGGTCACTCCTCACCCAGATTTCCCTTTTCAGGTACCACTTGCGAGTATTTCTGCCCTCCCTACACACCCACCGTTTGTGGGGTTTTTTCATAGCCGGTTCCCAGCAGAGCATCCTGCCCCACTCACCACGTGACTCCCCCGACAGGAGCAGTGTGTGCGCTCTCACAGGCCTTTCTTTCACTGTGACTGACTGGGGAGTCACCTTGCAAATACTTGTTCATTCTGACTTCCCCAGGCGTTACATGAGACCTGTGAATTCGTCAGTATCAGATGTGGGAACCACGAGAGTAGGGTACGCGGTGATGCAGAGGGCCCGGCGCTGATGCTCTGCTCATGATGTCTGGAAATTCTTAACCGTTTTTTCATGCGCCTTCATTTTGCACTAGGCTCTGGTCTTGCTTGTGGGCAGCTATAGGAAGTGAGAATAGCAGGGCAGAGAAGATGCATTGAAATCAGTACTATGCAAAGAAGTTCCCCGTTTGCTCCAGAGAGCATCACCTGTGCCATCTGCCTTTCAAGCCCTCAAAGAGAGAACTGGCCTTCTTACTGCACTTGCCTGCCATGTGTAGTCCTTTAAAACATCTGCCTGCCACCTTCTAATTCCATTAACATGCATTGAACCACAGAAGTGATACATTCCCGTATTTTATTTGCTCGGGGTTTTTACTTGTTGACATTTTGTTTTCTTGATGTGTCTTACTGTGTAGACCAGGCTACCCTTGAACTCACAGAGATCCATTTGCCTCTGCCTCACAAGTGCTGAGGTTAAAGGTATATACCACCATACCCAGCATTTTTTTTTTTTTTGTTGTTGTTGTTATTTATATTTGAGGTACTGTGTAGCTAAGGAATGCTCCTAACTCACTATATTCCCCTGGGTGGCCTTAAATTCATGATCTTCCTGCTTCAGTCTCCCAAATACTAGGATCACATTGGGCACTGTTATGCATATCTAATGGCACTATTATTTATGACATTTGTAAAACTTGTTATCTTTTCAGGTCAAGTATCAGCAAACTCATATAATTTAAAAATTAATAATAATCCCAGAATTCCCAGGGAACGCATTAGCTAGCTCAGAGCTGGTCAAGTTCATCTACTGTGAATTGCTGAGAGATTCTTTTCCTGGGATTTATGGATCATAAACTGCTAGAAGAAGCCTAAACATCATACAGCCTATGTTCTCAAAGCAGACAAAACTAGTGTCTACTGTCTGCCCAGCTCCCATCATATCTGTCCTCTGTGGCATTTGAATCCATTCAGATTCCTCCTAAATCTACTTTGAACCAGATAAGTGGTTTCAATTCAAGAAACCTTGTAAAATTGTGGACATTCTGTGTACTATTTGCAGCCAGTAGCAATAAAGCAGCTACATAATTATAAAACACACTCATGTATCGGTTCTGGAGCTCATACACATTCTGTCCCATGAAATGAATGTACTCAGCTACAGGACTGAAGATAATGTGCAGATGCAAAGTGGAGAGGCAGGCTAAAAATGACCTGCACCCAAAATTCCAAAGTTCTGGCCTCTGCCTGTAACAGGCAAGGGAAGATTTGGATCTTATGATGGTGTCTGTCTGCCTGTCTGTCTGTGTGGCATGCCTTACACAAATGATGGGGAGGGCTATACACATTGAGAGAGCAGAGGAGGAATTCAAGTATCCTGTTCTCTCTCTTCATCCTATTCTTTTAAACTGAGCATGGAGTCCACCATTTTCAGCTAGGCTGGTGGCAACAAGCGCAGCAACCCCCCCCCCCGCCCCCATCTTTACCAACCCAGTGCTGAGGTTACAGACACACACAGACATGCCTGGCTTTTTACATGGGTACTGGGGGTCCACGAGTAGTGGGTAGTACTCACTCTTTACCCACTAAACCATCTCCCCAAACCCCACTCTTGTTTTTTTTGAAGATTCTATATAGCCCAGGGTAGCATCCAATGCATTTCATTCCTGCCAACCAAAGTGCAGGAACAGTCTTTTGAAGAGGTGTGGACTGTGGGCAAATGGGACAGACAGTGCTACCTTTGATGATCTGGAAAGGTCCTGTAGTACAGAGGCTCCTGTGTGGAGCACTGTCCTCTGTGGGTGGAGCACTTCCTTACACAGTATTGCTTTCTGAATCTTCTCAAGGTGTTGTTCTCACTCTCTATGGGTAGTGTGAGCAGGGACCAGAATGCAAACATGAAATGAAACTGCTGGGTACCTTATACAAGGCCTCATGCCTTCTTCCATGTGTCAGGATTGCAGACCTGCACTACCATGCCCAGCATGCACTGCCTTTAACAAAAAGAAGGGGAAAAAATGTTTGATGTGTGTGCCCACAAGCTCTCTAAGGATAAAGACTGTCTTGTGTGCCTAAGGCCTTCAGCACAATGCTCCAATTAGTTAATTCTTATTAAATATTAATGGATTGTGAAGCAAAAATATTGTTGGATTGAGCTTCAGCTGTAATTTTATTTGGCAATTGGCCTCAAGGACCCCTTCCTATTGATTAAAACACTTTTGAACCAACATAATTGCTTTCACATGTCCAATGCCCTTTCTGCAGTTCATCACCGCAGCCTGCTGAGATCACCCCAGTCACGTGATATGTAAATGCCTTCAGAGTGTAGTGAGTTCTGATCTGTATCTAGAAGGGGGTAAAAAAAGCAAATATCAGTCTTCCATGTGACATGGTACAACGGTGAGAAGTTAGTTATAATGAGTGACTTAAGACAGCTCCTTGTGTAATCTCTGTGGGTTTGATTTCCCCAGGTCAAAATCCAGTTTTGATGGTTCCCCTTTGTCGGCTGATAAGAATGAGTGTAAAGCCGAAAGCAAGACTGACCCTAAGACTGAAAGGAAAAAGTCTTCGTCTTCCAGCCAGGTAATGAGGACTGTGGTATGTGTTGACTCTGAAGGCGAATAAGAATTCAGAAATGCAGCATTCTACTAACCAGGGCCAAAGCAGGTACAGGGCTTAGAAAAATGTGAAGGACAGATGGACGCTGCTCGTCCAGGCTGATTCCACAGCTGACCGGCCAGCCCACGTGGAGAAGAGTGCAAGGCTGTGGGACGGAGCCTGACCGTCAGGTGCTAGTGTGACATGTCACAGAGCAGGGGGGAGTGTTATGTCCACCGCTTATAATACCCACTGCACAGGGAATTAAGACCTATGAACACACAGGTGACCACTCTGTGCTAAATATACCCAGAGAGGTGACAAAAATCCACCTTTACTAGGACCAGCTCAGGGGAGTTTGGGTTTTATGTGGGGTTTTGGTGCTGAGAGTTGAACCCAAGTCCTGTGCACCAAGAACATACTCCACTATGAGCAAGACCCCTGGCCCCAGTTTCCTGCAGTTCGCTGTTGTGCACAACTCCCCTAAATTCATGGACACGTGCCTTCTAAGAACTATACAAAATAATTGGCACATACATGAAACTTAAGTAACTATTTTTAATTTCCACACTGTCCTTCCAAGGTGTGTCCTATTTAAAGGCTGGTTTTTGCCCTCCCCCATGGGGTCAGTGGGCAGTTCGATTATGTACTGACTTACTATATTGACTGTCCTCCACCCCTCATGATTCTCATGTTTTAGTCTCATAAGTGCTTTAATATCTCTCCAACCTTTTTTTTTTTTTTTTTTTTTTTTTACATGTCTGCCCAATATAGCCCAGGCTGGCCTTAAACATGGGATCCTCTTGCCCCAGGTTCCCTAGTAGCCCTGATCATAGGTGTGTGTCACCATGTACAACTGTTGAGGGATATTTGAAATCAAGTATGTAGTCAATGCTTTCTGTAACCATTAGAAAGGAAAACCTCTGTGAACCACTCATAGTACATGCAGCTTTCATCAGAGGCTTGAGGATGTGCAAGTTCAAGTCTCCTAGAAAGGAGAAGCAGATTGGGGGATCATCACAGGAAGAAATTCCAGGCCTCTGATGCAAAATGAACACATGGGAGGCAGAATGCATTCATGCACTTTACATAAGATGTTTTGTGTATTAGACAGCTGACATGTTGGGGCCGTCTGCCTGCATCTTAGTGGCCTGATCTGGGGCTTTTTCATGCCAATAGACGACTGGTTTGCAGTTGAGAGCTCCCTGGTTAGGAGAGCACACCATCCAAGATCTGTTTTCCAGAGTTCTTACCACAGTGCTTCTCAGCCTATGGGTAGTGACCCCTTTTGTGGTTGAATGACCCTTTCATAGGGGTCACATACCAGATATCCTGGATGTCAGATATTCATGCTATGGTTAATAACAGTAGCAAAATTATGGTTATGAAATAGCAGTGAAATAATTTTATGGTGGGGTAACCATGTGAGGAACTAACTAAATTAAAGGGAGCAGCATTTGCAAGTTTGAGAGCCACTGTCTTATCACCTGTTTTTCTCAAGAGCATTCTAGAAGCAAAGCAACCTGTCACCAAAGGACCTAGATCTGTGTCTTGGTCACTGTGTGGCCATGTTCCTCAGTATCCCTGATTGACAGTGTCCTAACCCTAGAATGGGGTGCCACCTACTTGGGGTTGGGTATAGATGATGCTTGTGGTAAACATTTCACTAGCTATAAATTATCTCCACTGTTGTAGAGACAGGTGCATTTTGCAAGGAAACTATCTACAGTGCTCTAGACTCTTGGGCCTTATACTGCCCTAGAGTGTTATGTCCTGCTCATCTGCCTCTGGCTTTTGTGGCCACATACTACCAGTGGTCACATACTGTCCCAAGTGGTGGGCTCTCCCAATGTGTTACTCCATGTAAATAGCCCTCTAAGGCAGGACTTCTTTTGTTGTCAGTGGAAGAAAAAAGAAACTGAGGCCCAGGGGAGCTAAATGATGAGGGCACAACCACACACCAAGGCAGAAGTAGAGCCAAAGACTTCAAGTTCAGGGTTATCTGAGTGCAGTTTCTGAGCCCTGAACTTTCCCCGGGGCACTTGGGTGTATGACTCTAGCACCTTCCCTGGTAAGAGTCCTTAGAATGCTGTCTCCCGTCTTATCAGAAGTACGTACCTTTGCCCGGCTCTGATACTCAGCTGATGACCCAGCAATGTGTTAATTCTGTTGGAACATGAACCTGTGTGACTCTCACTGAAGGATTGAACTGGAAAATTAATCAGTTAAATTAGGGTTAAAATGTGTGGTAGTTGCGAAAAATTATAGCAATGGTGTTAATCCCTGTGCTTTGCCCTCCTGCAGTACAAGGCGAACATGCATTTCCACAAGTTATTTGTTGATGTCCCAACTGAAGAGCCACTGAGGCAAAGTAAGTCCTATCTGTTATTGGTTTAAGTTCCATGTTTAAAACTCTAAGTGAGCTAGAGGACTCAGCAGTTCTAGAGGACCTGGGTTCAGTTCCTGGCATCCACGTGGCAGCTCACAACTATCTGTAACTCCAGTCCTAGGCCATCAGTATCTTCTTCTGGCCTCTGCATGAACATGGTACATAGACATGCACACACTTAAAATAGAAATAATATTTTTTTAAAAAAAATTGAGTTGTCTAAGGAGAAGGAACGCACATTTCAGGGAAAAGGTATCGGTTATGTCATGACAGTAATGCCAGCTGCACTCACATTTTGCTGGTACCCTGGAGCATAAGACAGAGGGAGCAGCCTGCTCTGGTGATACCAAGTAATCCAGAAAGGTCCCACCACAATCTCCTTGCCGTTTCTATTTATGCTGAAATGTTTGTGACTGAGTCACCCTCAGATTTGGGATAATAAGCCTGGGACAGGAAAGATTTCACAGACAGCTAAAAGGATGCATGGTCCCTGGTGTATGGAAGTAGTCTCTCCTGTGCTGGGCAGAGCACAGCGGCCACACCCAAGCAGTTTCCCACTGTGCCAGGTCAGCACGTGGCTCATCACAGGACCCATGATTCAACTCTAGCCTCTCTTGGTGTGTACTTGTTAAGTCAAGAGGCTAAGTTCCTGCCATGATCAGCTGATAGGTGTGGTCATGTGCTCTTTCCCCAGTGAGACCATGTATTTCATCAGTGAGTCATTAGGATCTTGGCAAGAGAGGACCAGGGCGCTTGGGCGCTTATATCAGCATGCAAGTGACACACGGTTGCAGATAGAAGAGATTTCTAAGCCATTGTCCCTGGTTTCTAGAGGTAGACTTGCCTCTCTCCCGCTTGTACTCTTAGAATATCTAGCTATTATGACTTTATTAAGCTAATGGTGACTGGGGAGCTAGGCATGCTGTTGTGTGCCTGTAATCTCAACACTCAGGAGGTTCTCAAGGTTAAGGCCAACCAGATCTAAATTTTGAACTCCAGGCAAGTCTGGACCACACAGCAACACCTTATCTTAAAAGAAAAAGAAAAGAAAACTCATAAAGAAGTGGTAATGCAGCCAAATGTAGTATGTTCGCATGTTGTGTGTAAGCACGAAAACGTGAACAGCAAGAAATTGAAAAGTGGGAAGCCATCTATTATTACTTGCAGTGGATGAAGGGCACAGGCGTCATTTCCAAAGCAATGCCCTCCTCAAAGAACGGAAGCCTAGGGAAACTATACAAGTAGGAAATCACTTTGCAGGCGGGCCATGCTGCCAAGCATGCTCATTTTAAGATAATAGTTCAAGAAGGAAAGATGGCGGGCACACATCTTGGCATGCTGTAACCCAGATTCACATAGCACATGCTTGAAAGTTAAAGTGGCCGACCTCAAAGTCAGGGTTACAAAGATGGTGGACAAGAGCACCTCTGGTCATGCTGAGCTCTTTACAGAAAGTTTTGGGTTTTTTGTTTGTTCGTTTGTGTTTGTTTGGTGAAAAACAAACAAAGCAACAATAGCAAAACAAGGCAGGCCATTTTGAAGTTACATTACACGGCAGCTTTGGCCCAGAAGAAGTTTGCCTTTCGTAGTGGCTGGCAATGGCACTTTGGAGTACGACTGTGTGTTTCATCACAGAAATACAGACACAGGGTTATTTGAAATAGAAATCATGGGAATAATAGTAATCTGGTGAGATTCTAAATGGCGCTTTTCTACCTGTCTGTCTTTTAGGCTTTACCTGTGCTCTCCAGAAAGAAATTCTATACCAAGGGAAGCTCTTTGTGTCGGAAAACTGGATTTGTTTTCATTCCAAGGTCTTTGGAAAAGACACTAAGGTTGGTGTGTTTAGAAGGAAAGGTTAATATGGTATTCATTACATGCTTAAATAGAAACTACTTTAAATTTAGCTGTATTTAAGTCTTTCCGTCACAAGCCTGACTTTATTTCCAGTTTCCTTTGTTGTGCTTCCAAATCTGACAGCTCTAAATGGCTCCGGATGACTCCGACTTCCTTCCTGCCCCCCCCCCCCAGCACCGATTGCTTTGTCCTTTCCTAACACACATTACCTTGCACTTCTCCACCCTTTGCCCTGAATCCCTTTTACCCACATATCATCAGAGACATGACGTTGTTCCTGTGCATTTCTAGGAAATCCATCCCAAAGGCATTCATTAAAAAAACCAAAACATGTAGCTGGGTGTGGTGGCTCAGCCCTCTAATCCTCGAAGGAGGGCCTCCATGCGTTTGATGACAGGATGGGCTATAATAAGTGAGTTGCAGACGAGCCTAACCTATTGTATATGACGTTGCCTCAAACAACTCCCACCCCCCATTTTTTTTTTTTTTAAATTATCCGTCTTTGCTATATCCATAGCAGTTACTAGGACAACAGGTTTGTAAATCAAGGGACCTGGAGCTCAAGTGTACAAGGCTTTGTCTGCAGAGCCCTATGACCTCAAATACGCTCTGGTGGGGCTGCCTTTATTTCTCGGTTAAACTCAAATTTGAGCTGAGATATAGGATACCCGGAGCTTGAGAACAGCCTGGGTGATGAAGGACGTGGCAGTTTCCCAAGGCACCACGCTCTGAAACTGTCCCACAAAGAAGGGAAAGGCAATCCATGTCCTGTGAACTATGGCCGCATATGTGGCACAGTTTGTTCAAGCAGCCAGAGGTCAGAAGAACGCCTTCCTGCTTTCCATGACCTCAGTGAGCATTCAGTGACTGTGCCTCGAGATTATAAATAAGCCATTTCATACCCATGAGGCAGCCAGTTATGAACTCTTTGCAATAATATACTATATCTAAACATTCTCCCCATAGCCACTGGTAATCCTATAAGGGCCACGCAACAAATATGATGGGTAGTGTCTATTGCTGATGTTAGCTCTGGAGGGCAACATACTTCATGTTGCTTTTTATAGATGCTTATTGAATGCTATTCTTAGGCATATTTTGAGTTGAGGCATTCTCTGATTTAATACAGTACAACGTAGTCTTCCAGCTTAACTCTAGATTTCAGGATTATAAGAAGTTGGCCATGGGGTCTAGAGGGGGTCCTGCTTCTCTGTGGGATAAGCATGGGTCTGAATTCAAAGCCAGCCTGCACCTCTAAGCACAGTCAAAAGACATTCTGAACAAAGTGTTTTTCCTTTTTTAGTAACATATAAGTTCACAAAGGCAGTATGTGAGCTTTGAGCTAAGGTGATTTAGCAGCGATTTGAAAATTCTGCTGTCCCTGGCTTTTTTTTTAATACTTGGACACAGTAGGCATCTTCTGTATGTGCTGCATTTACTCCTCAGAGAGAGGAGACAGAATTAGCATGGGACAGAGTAAGAACAGGGACAGTGGTTTGTCTGTTTCTCCCAGCCCCTAACATGCTGTCAAAGAGTTTTGGGCTTCAGAGGTCTTGCAGAATTCCCTCATGAGTCAACAGACCTCAGTCCAACATGATCTAATAAGATTAAAGTCTTCCAGTTTGCTCTCAGAGGGGGACGTCTCTAAGCGCCTACCCTGAAACACCTGTTACTAGTGAGGCTCTTTCAGATGCCGGTAAAATTAACGCGCCTGTATCACATTCGTCCAATCCCACTGAAAAAAACTCACTTCGTCTTCATTTCACAAGCTATGTGGTTATAATTTTATAGTCACAGAACAGATGATTAAAATTCCTGCTGGGTCTTTTATGCCTCAGAAAAGCCTGACGTTCTGGCCCCCTGTCCCTGTGTGCTTGTAGCCTGCTCAGAAACCAAATTGGACTCATTCTGCTATCATCGTTATCTTAACAGGTCTGCAGCCTTTTCCCCAAAGTTACCCCAACCAGAATTGTCCCCTGCCCTTGAGAATGTTTGTGGTTAGAAATCTTTAAAACAATAGCGTTTTATAAAAGACTCTGAGTGGCATCAGTCCCTCATTCTTCTCAGTCTTCCTTCCTAGAACAACTCAGAGCGGAGGATAGTTCATCTCCGAGACCCAAACATGAACGCAGTTTTCAAAATTGAGAGTTTGTTTACAATCCCTCAGACTGGCAGAACCAGCACCCTCCTCTTCCCCCACTGACCCTGTGACCTCTTTCAGAGTACGTGAGCTATTTTATAAGCTATATGCTCAAGTAAGCCTGTGTACCTAGGCATGGAGTCAAATCATTTTTTGTTTAACCATGCCTGTATGTGAGACTGGAGGTTCATATTAATATTATCATTTTCACTTGAAACAAAACTGGGCAGTTGCTGCTCTCTGTGTTGTCTGATATAGTCTTATAGCATATCATATGGGAGGGAGTGACTATTTCAGATCAGATCAGTTCAGATTCCAACATTTTTAAGTTCTGATGTACAGGACCTTGAATGAACCATGTATCTCTCCAAACAGATTTTGTGATCTGATTTCTAAGCCTTACATGATTGGCATAATTAAATGACAGTCTCACCTGATAAGTAAGAATTGTTATTTCTTATTTGAGCCAGAAATGAACGTAATGTGGTTTGTTTGTTTGTTGCTATTCTGATATCAAGAAACAAATGAGAAACTTGGTAAAAGTTTTCATTCAGCATTGAATGCACTCTGACCCTTATCTTTTAATGCAGATAAAAAATAAATCTGAGTATAAAGAAAGGCTGTCTGGTTCTGGAGAGATGGCTCAGAGGTTAAGAACACTGCTGCTTTTCCAGAGGTCCTGAGTTCAATTCCCAGCAATCCATGGTAGCTCACAGCTGTTTCTATAATAAGATCTAGTGCCCTTTTCTGGTGTACAGGTATGCATGCAGGGAGAACACAGTATAAATGATAGATAGATAGATAGATAATTAAAAAGAAAAAAGGGCTGTCTATACTTGTAAATCGGGAAACAAAAGCTTTGCATGGATGGCCTGTCAGGCTGAGAAGGCCATGTAAATAGTAATGGGACTGAATTCAGGTTTAGGTTCAAGACTTTCTATCCAGGATGTTTTACCCACCCACAAGTGCTCAACCCAAAAACCGAGTGCAGAGCAGATGCCATAATCGATAAGCCTCCGTGGAGCCTTGAGCCCTGATGCATGCACGTCAGCGTAATGACTGTGTTCTGTTACCATGTCTAGAACTTCCCAGCTGTGGCTTTGGAAATCCCAGTCTGAACAGCTCAGTAATGTGTTCCCACCCTTCCCCAGATGCACTGTTCTTCACGAAACTGGCTGGCGGTGTCTTGAGCCAAGTGTAGATCTGACGTGCTGTGTGTCACGTCCGAGCTGGCACTAACTGGATGGTTCTGTTTCAGATCTCTATCCCCGCTTTCTCAGTCACCCTGATAAAGAAAACCAAAACTGCCCTTCTGGTGCCAAATGCCTTGATTATAGCGACAGTCACAGACAGGGTGAGTATAGCACTGCAGGACCACCCTTTCTGTCTGTTGTTGCTTTCTTCTCCGTCATTGTTGCTCTTGTTCTTTTGAGGGGCTGTTGTTATTGTTGTTGTTGCAATTTAATTCATTTCAATAGCAAATTTACAGGAGCAGCACAGAAAGCAAACAACATTAAACACGCATCACATATAGGACAACTCTGAAAAGTATATCTAATGCATGGAATCTTCTGTGTGCTAACAATTGCCTCACCATCCAGTTGACACCAGTAAGAAATTTATTCATTAGAAAAAGATCTGGGAGCCTGGCAAGATAGCCTAGTGGATAAGAGTGCAAGCCTAACAACTAGCATTCAGTTCCCAGATTCCCAAAATGGAAAAAAGAACTAGCTCCCAAACGTAGAGCTTTGACATCTACATGTATGCACTGTAGCACTCACACATCCATATATGTCCACATGCATATGTGCTTGAAATAATAATAATAATAGATTTAAACTGTTTAAAATGGAAAAAAAAAAAAAGCTTAGTGTGGGTGTGGTGGTGCATGCCTTAAATCCTAGCACTTGGGAGGCAAAGGTAGACAGATCTCTGTGAATTCAAAGTCTTATTGGTCTAAATAGCAAGTTCCAAGACAGCTTTGACTACAGAGAGGAGGGAGGAAGGGTGAGAGGGGGGGAGGGAGGGAGGAAGGAAGGAAAAGAGGAAGAGAGAGAGAGGAGAAGCCTGGCTAATGAGGTAACTCAGCAAGTGAAGGAACTGGCAAAAGCCTGACAGTCTAAGTTTGGTCCCCAGTCTCACAGGTGACAGGCCTACACACACACACACACACACACATGCACACGCACGTGCACACACACACACACACACACAGCCTCTCTTCTGCACCAAGGTGCTGGAATAACTCCTGAACTGAGCTACCCAGAACATGCAACCAGAAACATTTCCATTTAGATATTTGTTTCACGTATTATTTTTGTGAAAGCGTAAAAGCTACTTTCAACTTCTACCATACTAAAAACTAAGTATGGATGAGAAGAAAAACGAACAACACATCTGTGATCTCTATACTTAGGAGCTAACTCAGGAGAATCATAAGTTTGAGGCCAGTCTGAACTATGTAATAATATAGACAGATGATAGATGATAGGCAGACAGACAAACAAACAGATAGATAGATTAAATAGATAGATTCTGGTAAACTAGAAAATAAATGAACATACCTTTTTAAAAACAAAAAAATACAAACAGCTATCAAGCACTTACTCTTTGCCAGGTGTACACTGAGTGTCTTCTTTACGTTTTGTAATTTATCTGTGTGCACCCCATAGGGAAAGCGTGCTTGATCAGTTTCTCATTGTTCACTATTATTAAGTATCAGAGCCAGACTCTGCACCTAGATCTGTCCAGTGCCAACACCCACAGTGCCCACTCCTCTAGAATGCCATGATGCTGACTTGGGCATTACATCATTCTCCTGGTGGCCAAAGAGAGGGATCTTTCAAACTCGGTCTGAAAAGATGCCATGACACACAGAGAAAGCCACATCATACACATGGAGAAGGATGCATCACACACAGAGAGAGAGCCACATCACACACATGGAGAAGGATGCATCACACAGAGAGAGAGAGAGCCGCATCACACACATGGAGAAGGATGCATCACACACATGGAGAAGGATGCATCACACACACAGAGAAAGCCGCATCACACACATGGAGAAGGATGCATCACACAGAGAGAGAGAGAGCCGCATCACACACACACAGAGAGCCACATCACCCACATGGAGAAGGATGCATCACACACAGAGAGAGAGAGCCGCATCACACACATGGAGAAGGCTGCATCACACATGGAGAAGGATGCATCACACACAGAGAGAAAGCCATATCACACACATAGAGAAGGATGCATCACATACACAGAGAGAGAGCCGCATCACACACACAGAGAGAGAGCCATATCACCCACATGGAGAAGGATGCATCACACACAGAGAGAGAGCCACATCACACACATGGAGAAGGATGCATCACACACAGAGAGAAAGCCATATCACACACATAGAGAAGGATGCATCACATACACAGAGAGAGCCGCATCACACACATGGAGAAGGCTGCATCACACACGGAGAAGGATGCATCACACACAGAGAGAAAGCCATATCACACACATAGAGAAGGATGCATCACACACAGAGAGAGAACCGCATCACACACACAGAGAGAGAGCCATATCACCCACATGGAGAAGGATGCATCACACAGAGAGAGAGAGAGCCGCATCACACACATGGAGAAGGATGCATCACACACAGAGAGAAAGCCATATCACACACATAGAGAAGGATGCATCACACACATGGAGAAGAATGCATCACACACATGGAGAAGGACGCATCACACACATGGAGAAGGATGCATCATACACATGGAGAAGAATGCATCACACACATGGAGAAGGACGCATCACACACATGGAGAAGGATGCATCACACACAGAGAGAAAGCCATATCACACACATAGAGAAGGATGCATCACACACATGGAGAAGGACGCATCACACACATGGAGAAGGATGCATCATACACATGGAGAAGAATGCATCACACACATGGTGAAGGACGCATCACACACATGGAGAAGGATGCATCATACACATGGAGAAGGATGCATCACACACACAGAAAGCCGCATCACACACATGGAGAAGGATGCATCACACACATGGAGAAGGATGCATCACACACATGGAGAAGGATGCATCATACACACACAGAGAAAGCCGCATCACACACAGGAAGAACCTGAAAGTGATAAAGAGCAACCCTGTTAGAACTGCTAGGACGTTTTCTTCAGAAATCTATGTCAGAGCAGAGAAAGCAGGCCTCCTCCAGGAATCACAGAATATCCTTAAAAACAAAATACTAGAGAGAGGAGAGAACTTTGGAGGGGCCAGCCTATATCACCAGCCTTGCCTTAGTGCCCTGACATCTCATCTATGTTTTTAGGGATGCCCATGTCATCATTTGGCAGCCTTCATTTTGCCATTTTTAAAATTATGTTTAAATTGAATATAGAGAATTTATTATTATAATAAGGGGATATAATGAGCTAGAGATGTGGCTTCATCTGTAGAGTGCTTGCCTAGCAGCATGAAACCCTGAATTCAGTCCCCAACACCGCATACACTGGAATGGTGCTACACACCTATAATCTCTGCAGTTCTGGGGTGGAGGCAGAACTCTCAAGAGTTCAAGATCATCTTTAGCTGCATAGCAAGTTTGTTGCCAGTCTGAGTGAGCCACATGAGAACCAGCCTCAAAAGAAAAAAAGAAAGGAAGGAGGGAGGGAGGAAGGGAAGGAGGGAGGGAAAGAAGGAAGGAAGGAAGGAAGGAAGGAAGGAAGGAAGGAAGGAAGGAAGGAAGACACATGACACAAGAAAGAAAATAAAAATTGAATGTTAGGTGAAAAAAAATGAGGTTATATTTAAAGTGATAGTCTTTGTCATCTGGAAATATAAAAGCTAGGGCCAAAATGATGGCTCAGCTGGTAAAGGATGTCTGTACTATAAAGCCTGATGGCCTGGTTCAATCCTCAAGACCTACGTGGTAGAAAGAGTTGACCTCTGATTTCCACAGGTACACCATAGCACACATGTGAATACACACACACACAGACACACACACACACACACACACACACACACACACACACACTGTAACTTGAAAATTTACAAGAAAACAGAAAACATGTGACAAGTATTTTTGGAACTCTAAACTCTTTTGATTGAACTTTATTTTCCAGTACATATTCGTTTCCCTACTTTCCAGAGATTCAACATACAAACTGCTAAAATCTGTGTGTGGACACTTGGAGGTGCGTATAACATCCGAATTATATGCTGTCTTTCTTTGGTATGCCTTAAGGTCTGAAGTTGATCTGGGTTTTCATTTTATTCCTATGATTTCAGAACACAAGTGTCGGTAACAATTCCAACCCATCTTCTCCTGAAAATAGTTTCCGGGCAGATCGCCCTTCATCTCTGCCTCTGGTAAGCTGCCCAAATAATGATGTAAGTGCACAACAAAGGATGGAGCCATGGCTACCCTGTGCTCACAGGACAGCCAGCGCTTGGGAAGAACTCAGGACCAATGTAGTTGGGGGCAGCTGCAAAGCACAACTCGACTCTCCAGAAGCAGAGGGACCAAAGGAAGCTACTAACTTTTTTTCTAGTAATCTACATGGAGGAGAAATATGATAGCTAGATTGGAGGTACATAAGACCTAGCTTCGTTTGCTTGTCAGTTTTGCTGTGTGAGGTGCTGGGAGTCAAACCCAGAGCCTTATGCATGCCGGCCAAGCACTCTCCACTTAGTTACATTTCAGACACTGTGCTGCTTTAGACATTCACAAATCTCTTTGAGGCGGGCTCAATGCACAAAGGTCCACTCAGGGTGCTATACTGATGTAAACCAGGGAAAATTTAAACTAATTCTCACCTTCAGAGACTTCAGCTTAGGGGAGATAGGCAGACTCAGAAATGACTAGGCAAAGCCGTTATGCTCAGGTGTCAGGTAGAGCTACGATGGTTCCCTTGGACTTTGTAGACCACAGTGAAAACCTCTAGTGCCTATTTGCACATGGTGCCTACCTATAATAGAGAAGTCTAACAATATCGTACAAACCATATTGATAAATGTTTGCCTTGAGTCAAACAATACAGCCCATAATTTCAGCCAGGCGGTGGTGGCACACACCTTTAATCCCAGCACTCAGGAGGCAAAGGCAGGCGGATCTCCAAGTTTGAAGCCAGCCTAGTCTACAGAGTGAGTTCCAGAACAGTCAGGGCTATACAGAGAAACTCTATCCTGGGGGGTGGGGGAGGGACAAACAAACAAAAACATAGTTCAACATCTATGAATCTTCTTTTGCATTTTGAAAACTAATGTAATTAAAACATGTTCACATAAAAATACGAACAGGAAAGTTTATCTGGGAGTGGTGGCATGCACCTGTAATTCCAGTACTTGGGGTGGGGGCTAAGACAGAAGGATTGCTAATGAGTTTTAGGCCAGACTGAACTACATAGGTCATGCTAGAAATATACAGCAAAACTTTGTTTCAAAAACAGAAAGGACTGTTTATAGCAGTATTTTTCATAATAGCCCAAAGTAGTATAAAACCCTGATGCCCATTAACTGAAGAATGGGATGTCTTTAATAGAGTACACAGTGGAATATTACACACTCATAAAAAATAATTGAAGGCTGATACATGCTATCACATAGATGGGCCTTAAAATCATTATGACAAACAAACACAGAAGGCTGTGTATTGCATGATTGCTAATGCTTCTCAAGTTAGAATGGGTTTCCATCCTCACAGACCATCATAATGTTCCATAGCACTGGGAGGGGGAGGGGGAGGGTGTGGGCAGGACAAAATACACGTGATGACCTAGAATTCAGCAAACATGGTTTCCAGTCTGAGCCCACCCAGCTGGAGTCTCTCCTCAGAAAAGGTCCTTCCACTCTGATCCTCTTATTCCATCCCCTGGAATCCTAACCTCACCATATGGGTGGGGAGGGCCAGAGCATCCATGTGTGTAAGGCGGTTTGCACACTGGCCCGTAAGTCACGATTAAGTTGAAGAACTTAACTATAAAGTTTTTCACTTTTCAAAACTGCGTTGTAGCTCGGTTGGTGGAGTGCTAGCCTGGCCTGCACAGAGCCATGGGTTGTCCCTAGCACCAAACAAAGCGGGCATGGTGGCTCACACCTGTAGGGGTAGAGGCAGGAGGGTCCAAGGTCATCCTCAGTTACAATGGGACTATGAGACCAGCCTGAGATAGATGGAGACCCTGCCTCAAACAGTTAAACCAAGTATAAATCAATCCATCGGATGTTCACCTTTCCTTCCCCTATACATCATTGTAAGGAATCTCATGGATGCTGAGATTACCCAAAGACAGCAAAGTCAAACACAAACCTTGCTCATTTGCTTATTAGAGCTCCCTCAGTGGGCAGCTAAACTGTTCAGAGTTCAGCCTAGTTTTGCCTTTTGCCAGGCCCAGCTGGGAACACCATGTGCCCCCTTGGGTCTTGAACACTTCAGGGAAGCCAGTAGAATACAAATTAAAATGCCTATGCTGTAGCCTTCTCTCCTGTCTGCTTCCTCTGTACGTAGCTGACCCTGACTGGATCTAACTGAAAAGGCTGCCAGCTTTCCTTTCCCGGTCTGATTTGCCAGAAGTGGTTTTGTTTGTTTTGTTTTGTTCTTTTCTGTGACCACTGTCGTTTGTTTTCGTTATAATTTACAACGCTTTTTGACCACGTTCTGGAGTGGCTTTGGGCTGTCTGTCTGCCCGGCTCTCATTCTGTCGGCAGCAGTCGGGTGTTTCGGGACAGTGCTGCTGAGATTCTCAGCCTCCAGCTAGCCGTTTCTGTCTCACCAGTCGGCCGGTGCTTTTTGTTTCAGCTGTTTGCTGAAGGATTCTAACCATGCGGAGGACTCTCGGTTCCGTAACCAGATACTCCTAGGTTAGGAAAAAACCTGTGGCGTGTGGCAACCCGTGCTTCATTTTCATATTTTATGGGTTGGGCCTGAGCGAGGTGGCTGGGTTTACAAAGGCCTGCCTGTCTCCTCACGTCATTGTCTCCCCATAGGACTTCAACGATGAGTTCTCAGACCTGGATGGTGTGGTTCGACAACGCAGGCAAGACATGGAAGGGTACAGCAGCTCCGGCTCTCAGACTCCAGAATCCGAGAACTCCCGAGGTCTGGGGAAATCGTGTCCCGATTCAAGTTTCATGCCCCACACAACACCCTCCTCTCCCCCTCTTCAAGACACAAAACAAGGTCCACCCCCCCTCCTCCCAGCTAACAGTTGCAAAGGAAATCTTGAGAAAGGGTTCCTAAGAAAGGGAATTGCTACACTCATGGAGGCAGAGGCAGGTGGATCTCTGTGAGTTCGAGGCCACCCTGGTCTACAATGAGTTCTTAGGACAGTCTCCAATCCTACAGAGAAATCCTGTCTCCAAAAAGGAAAAAACGGTGGGGAGATTGCTTCTATGGCAAAATCCATCTACCTCGTCTATATTTAGCAGCTATCTCTTACACTGATGCGCTAGGGTGGCTGAGAGAGGGGATCAACATGAGGTTTCTCACTACTGTCAGTGATAGTAACGACACTAAAACTGTGTGTCTGTGGATGACAACCCAGGGTCCCTGCATCATTTCCTAGTGAACTCTGGGTTTTAGTCTCCAGGCATCACATCCCACTCATGGGAGAGCCACAACATGGCCATTATGTAGATGAAGGAGTCAAGGGTTTTATAGCTGATCCTATGATTTTTAAATATATTGGGGAGCAAACTGACCTGGCCTCATTTTCTTGACAGACTTCCATGTGACCGAGTCTCAGACAGTTCTGAATGTCACCAAGGGAGAAACAAAACCACCTCGGACTGATGCCCACGGGAACAGAGCGCCGGATGGGAAAGCCAAGAGCCTTCCTGTGCATGGTGAGGCGCAGTCATTGGTGGGAAAGCGATTGTGTAAAGAGCTCCGGTGTTTCACACCATGATTGTCACTCATGTTCCCTCCCTTCCTCTTGTTGGTCTTTGCATGTCAAATCCCACTTACTTATTCTGTAAGTAGTTCCTGCTTCTGGGCTTCACCGGGGTCACAGTGAAAGTTGCTGCATTGTCCTCCATACTTTGAGATTAAGAACCAAAAGTTAATGGTCAAACTCCTTACTGTCTTGTTTCTTATTTATTAACAATAATAATAATGTTACATTGTTCCACTGACCTACCCAGTACAATACTTGGCAGAAAGAAGCCTCTCAAATATATATTATTAGATGAAATGAGTTGGAAAAAAAAAATGAACCTACTGGTTAAAATACCAAGGAGGAGTTTTCCACAAATATTTTTCCTTCTGTCTGGGAATGTACCTACCTCCAGTACCTCTTCTGTGTTGAAATAGTGCTAAATGAAAGAAGTATACTGAGGTGCTAAATTATTGCTATTTTGATTTCCACTCAACAGGCCAGTCTGAAACTGCCGGGATTTTGCATAACATCAAGTCTCAGAAATGCCCAACTCTCCGCCATATTCTTATATTCTATGCAATTGTGTAAGTAGATGTGGTTACTGTAAGTGATTTATGCAAATGATCTGGCTTTGCAGATGAATAATCTCTTCACACTGCCAAGAGTCTTTGTAAATCCCCCTGGTGCTGACATAACTCGCATATTTTTCTTGGCAATTTCTGTTTCCTTCATAGGCAGTTCCCCCTCTCCCTCAGGCTAAGGTTAGCTTTTTATAATGATTGTGCTAAATCTGCCATAGAACCAAATCCTGAGCAACAGTCAGTATCTTCTGAAGTATCTCTGTTCTGCTTATTTATTTTTCATGTGTTCAGCTTCTTTTGAACAGAAGCCAAAATATCATCACGATATCATCCATCTCCAACAATCAGCCATCTTCACCGACATCTTAGGCGCAGACATTTTTTAACTTTTCATCAGCCCCCACTCTATAACCAATTGCTTTTCTGAGAGGAGCTGGTTCAGTTCTGGGGTGTCTCTCATACCAGAGAGGGATAGATCTGCTCCTCTGGTCCCCACAAAAGCAAGGAATTTGTGATTCTCGGGGGAATGAGATTTGCTGCTCTCTGCTCAGGCTCCTGGACCAGAGGAAGAGTATACCAAAAAGGATGGGAGTTTTAGCTTGGGTCTGGCCTTGAACAGTCCTGTAAGAATGGCCATCTTTTTTTCACTTGGAGGACTTGGGTGACAGGATTTTAAGTCCCCTTGCTGTGAAGTTTTATAATAAGTATCAACCTATTTTCTCACTTTTGTTTTCCTTTGTTAATATTTTATATTTCATTTGAATGTTTTGCCTGCATATATGTCTGTATACCACATACACAGCTGGTTTTCTTGGAGGCCAAAAGGCATTAGATCCTCTAGATCTGGAGTTACAGATGGCTGTGAGCCTCTCTGGGGGGTACCAGGAATCAAACTCAGGCCCTCTCTCCCAGACCATCTCTCCAGCCACTCAACTTAGACTTCATAAAGTCTCTTTAAGACTTTGGTTCCTTTTGAAAATGCTCCCAAAGTGGAAAAATGGCTCTGAGGTCATTGTTTTTTATAGATCAGTTCCTGGCCATTAACATTTGGAAATTTCTCGTTGCCTCCCTCTAGTGTCTGTGCATTGATCGTCTCGACCTTCTATATGAGATACAGAATTAACACTCTGGAGGAGCGGCTGGGGTCCCTGACGTCCTTTGTGGATCCCTACAGTACTGAGTAAGATAGCTTTCCTTTGCTTGCTCTTCAGATTAGTGTACCAACTGTCCTCAGTTTGGAGTCCTCCTTAGCAAACACTGAGAATACGTTCTGTATAAAGGACTCAGTCGTCCTTTGTGACAGTTACAGGCAAAATGACTCCTGTCAAAATGACTCCTGTCTTCTCTTCTGGCCTGTAGTTTTCTGTTCAAACTTAACATTCTGTGCCTTTCCTTCAGTGGTTCCTCTTAATGTTTCTCTCCTTGCTTACAGGCAGACAGTCCCGTCGGGCCTGGGATCACAAGTACAGTTAAATGTGGAGGCCCTCTGCCAAGAACTTACAGCTAACATAGTGAAATTAGAAAAGGTAAGTTGTTTTTTCCTGAGGATAGGAGCAAGCTGATCATTCCTGTCAGTTGCTACTGGCCCTTTTTATTTCTATAAAGAAACAGAATTTCCTCTCAGCAAAATAAAGATTTGGTTGGTCTATCATTTGTGTCCCTACCTGGACGTGGGACCACTGGTTAAGTTGTCAGTGACACTGGGGTCCATGGAGGGTTACATTTGGGAATCAACTAGAATTCCTGTTACTCCCTTGGCTAATTAGGAATGAATAAAGTTTTAAGTTACCTTGCTCCCAGTGGCAGAGGTAGAAGGCTACCTGGATTTGAGCCACTGGCTAAGTTGTGGTTAGAAGTATCCTGCTTGCTTTAGGGGCTGCAGAGACAGCTTAGCAGTTAGGAACACTGACTGTTCTTCCAGAGGACATGGATTCAATTCCCAGCATCCACATGTCAGCTCACAATTGTCTGTAAATCCAGTTCCAGGGGATCCAGCATCCTAACACAGATGTATATGCAAACAAAACACCAATGCACATAAAATAAAAAGAATAAAATCATTAAAACAAAACAAAAATTGCTGTGTGAGGTAACACTTGCCTTTAATCCTAGCTCTTGGGAGGCAAGGGCAGGAAGATCTCTGAGTTTCTGGCCAGCCTGGTCTACAAAGTTCCAGGACAACCAGGGCTACATAGAGGAACTCTGTCTGGGGGTGGGGAGCAGGTCCTCTGGCTTCAGCCCTTAAGAGGGTGTGGGTTCAATCCCCACAATAAATAAATTTGCCTCCTGATTTTCTGCTCGTAGGCTTCTATCGCCAAAGTATCTTCCCAGGGTCACGTCTGTCCTTAGCTTCATTCTTAGCTTTAAGATGGTAAGAGGAGGAATGAGGACGAGGAAACCATTCATACCTATCCTAGAGATACACCTTATTATCAGGGTTTATTTCTCCTTTCACATCTGGTAACTCCCTTGGTTTTGCTCTAATCCTTTCCCTACTGCTCCCAGGGTGGGGCACTGTTGTTTTTCAGTTTTACTGTTTGGTTCAGACACACACAAAATCCTTTCTCCCTCCTCCCCTGCCAGGCCCTGCCAGGACGCCACAAAAGGATTTGTTCACCATCCGCAGTTGGCGTGTCTGTGTGGGGCTCAAACCCAGCTCAGCTGAGCAGCAAGGGAGACTGCTAGAAATGAAAGGCAACCACTTGCATCTCAAAGCAAAGTCTGTAAAAAGTAGATCAGGGCCAAAATGTTCCCAGAGGCAGTTGAGCAGTTGCCTGGCATAGCCTGGGAACGAACAGGCTCGCCGCAGATGAGCTGTGGGAAATCCTGAGGCGTGACTCAGTTTTTTGCAGCAATGTCTTTCTGCCATCAGAGACTGTTCATATCCAAGCCTCATGATCATTCCTCAGTTACCCTCACAGGAAACCCAAGGGTGAACCCCCACTGCTCCTCCCCCTCAAGTCCCATGAAGTCTGTCCTCAGATGTCTCCACTGTGAATCCCATTATGAGTTTTTTTTAATATTTTCTACTTATTATTATGGGACGTGAGGGGATATAAGGAGTGTGTATACATGTGCCCCTGGACACACGTAGGGGTCAGAGGACAACTTTTGGGAGTCATTTCTTTTCCAGGAACACAACTGAGGTCCATAAACTTGCATGTGTTTTTACCTATCAAGCCATCTCCATGACCCCCATTTATATTTTCTAATACGCCTGAAAATCAGCATAGGATATATTTGTTAGCTGCCGGGGTTTTGGCTATCTGCTGCTTATTTATCTTTTGTTTGTTTTTTTTTTTTGTTTGTGTTAATGGGTGTGTTTACCTTTTCTTCCCCCCTTTCTCTCTCTCTCTCTCTCTCTCTCTCTCTCTCTCTCTCTCTCTCTCTCTCTCTCTTCTCTGAAACAGGGTTTCTCTGTGTAATCCAACTGTTCTGGAACTCACTCTATAGCCCAGACTGACCTCAAACTCATAGATCCATCTGTTTCTGCCTCCTGATTACTGGGATTAAAAGCATGTGCCACTATTGTCTGGCACTGTTTGCTTTTTCTTTTTCACATTTATGTGTGTGTGTGTGTGTGTGTGTGTGTGTGTGTGTGTGCACACGCGCATTTACACACAATACCACTGAGCACATATGGACAATTTGTGGGAATCAGCATGGGTTCTAGGGGTCAAACTCAGGTTGTCAGGCTTGACAGTCAGAACTGTCCCCTAAATATCTAGCCTAGAGTTGAGAATTACTACAGAGCCTTTATGCTGGTCATAGGCAAAATGATATAGGCCCACTATCCTGTTTTGCTTCTCTGCCACCGTGATAAAACGCTGACCGGTCGCATCTTGGGGACAATGGACCTATTTCAGCTTACAGTACATCATCCAGGGAAGCCAAGGCAGGAACTGAAGCAGAGACCATGGAGCAGTGCTGTCTACTGGCTTGCTCAGTTTCCTTTCTTTCTCCTCTCTTTTAAGACTTTTATATGTGTGAGTACTTTGTCTGCAGGTATATATGAGCATCACATAAGGGCTTGGTGCCTAGAGAGTACAGAAGAAAGAGTATCGGATCCCCTGGAACCTGTAGCCGGAGTTATAGACAGTTGTAAGCCACTATGTGATGCTGGAAACTGGAACTAGGTTCTCTGCAAAAACAGCAAATGCTCTGACCCACTGAGGGTTCTCCCCAACCCCAATTTTTTTTTTTTTTTTTTTTTTTTTTTTAGATTTAAAAAAAAATTTATGTACCTGAGTGTTTTGACTGCCTGTACCTATTTGCACCTCATATATGCAATGCATGTAGAAGCCAGAGGAGGGAATTGGACACACACACACACACACACACACACCACCTCAAACTGGAATTACAGACAGTAGGGACCTACCATTTGGGTGGTAGAAACTCAGGTCTTACTTATTTCTCTTATGTACCCCAGGCCCACCTGCCTAGGAATGGTGTTGACCTCTGAGTCATCCTGCATCAATCAGCAATTAAGAAAATGTCTCAGGAGGGAGGGGAAACTATAGTTGCTTTATAAAATAAATTATTTTAGTGCACGATATTTGCCTGCATATCTATATATACACTCACTCTCAGGATACATATTGTAACTTATAACAATGTATAACAATGACATCTCTCTTATTGTTTCAAGATACAGAACAACTTACAAAAGCTGCTTGAGAATGGTGACTGAGTGACCAGATGCTGGAGGCAACAGAATACCTCATATTTTCCCTCGAAGAAGGTGCTTCCCGAGAGAGCCTGGTGTGCGCCCCCTGCTGGCCAGAGGTGCAAGAGGCTGAGAATCCACATGTGTTTGCACTTGGAGGGCTCCAGCTCAGGAAGGGGGGAAAGGGAATGATTTTGCTTTTGTGCAATAAAAGTTGACCTTGTCTCTGCTGCTGCCTGAAGGAAACAGACCCATCTCGGGAGATGAGCAAGGTCCCGGAAGAAGCCTGTATCGAGAGGGTTATGGTGATGGTCAGTTAACACTGCACTCCATGCTTTTCAGCCCTTCCCAGCCTCCTCTTCGCTCCCTTCACCCGTCCCAACCAACCTTCGGACCTAAAGGGTGCCATAGACCAACAAGCTCAATATGGTTCTTTAAAAGATTAGCCATGAGCCTCCAACAAGGTGGTGAATAGCTCCAGATGAACAGGCTTGCTTCAAACACCCGCGTTTTTTGTCTCTATTTTTTTTCCTTCTGCTCTTATGCTCTGACTTCTTTCGTCTATGCGATTTAATATCTCAATTCAGTTTTATAAGCATGTCTGGTAAAGTGCACTAAATGGGCTGTTATGCTGTTTTGTTCCCCGTGACTAGTACTTAATTGGAGTGATTCTCCCCCTCCTCTGACCAGGAATCTTGGAGGAGGGGAACTGAAATACTAAATTAGATTCACTATGAAACCAAAACTAATCTTCAGGCCAAACACTGTAATAATGTTTTAATATGCAATGGAAAATACTGTTTCTAAGATTCTAAGTGGACCACGGGAGCTGTTCAGTAACTGGATGTCTGTGTTGGGCTCTAAATCCCAACTCAGCCTGGTAATCGGATGTCTTTCTCCTACAATAAAACAGTAAGTGGTGGTTGGCTAACTTTACTTACAGTTTGGGTTGGATGTGGTTTTTTTTGTTGTTGTTGTTGTTTTGTTTTATTAATAATTATCCAGGGTACCGTAAGATCTGTAAGTATAAAACATTCTGTCTGCAATGCGTTTTATAATCATTTCTATGAAATGTATTTTATTTAATCAGATAGGCTAATAAGTGGATTGGTTACATCATTTGTATTTGTCAGCCTACTGGGTAACTGTGCCTGGTGCACTGGCTTTTAATAAATACTCATTGGCTAAAACTCTCTACCTAACACTGTGTCCTGGGTTTGTGAATTCTTTTACTTAAGACTTCCTGTGCTTTTTAAGTTTCCTTCACTACAACTTTCAACTTCATACTCACCACCACCATGGAGCATTTATTTCAAAAATACAAAAATAAAAAATAAAAAAATCGGGGGATGTTATAATGGTATCCAGGAAAGGAAATGAGCTGTGAAATCAACAGACAAATGTCTGATCCCTAGGTTTGATTGATATTTTATGAGGTGTGTGGCCTCAGACAAGATAGTCTGCCATCCTCCTGCCCATTTTATTCATGAGACTTCAAGTGCCAAAGGAGAAGAACCAGTGTGGATTGATGCTGTCTCTGAAGCATACAGCTTTGTTCCCTCCTAACAGGTACCGTCTTCTCCTCCTCTTTCTTCATCTGCACATGTGTCTGTGTGCACATGCAAAATGTTAGAGAGAACAACTTTCAGGAGTCGGTTCTCTCTCTAAACCACAACTTCCAGCCATCAAACTTAGACTGTCCAGTTGCTCTACAAGCACTTTTAACACTAAGACCTCACTGACCCCACAGTTACTGTTCTGCCACTTGGAAATAATCAGGTAAAACAATCATTAGGTAAATATCAGTTTTACATGGAAAAGTATTTCTTGAGATGGGGGTCTTACTGTGTAGCTCTTGCTGGAACTTGTTGTATAGATCAGGCTGTTCTCAAACTCACAAAGGTCTGTTTACCTCTGCCTTCCAAGTAATGGGATTAAAAGCACATGTCACATCCAACCTCCAAGAATTATCTTTGAAGCCATCTGGCAGCAGATAAAGCCAGTTTAAATGGGTCTTTATGAAATCACACAACTCATTATCCTTTAGGTTTTTAAGAATCTGGCCAGATAGCCTCACTTTGACAATTCTTTCTGAAAGTAGCCTTAATACACAGAACTATGAGAAATGCAGCGTGGAGAAATATGCATCCATTTGTCCTGCCAACACTTTACCTAGTTTCTAAAAGATATGTTTATCCTATTTTTTGAGTTATTTTGCCTGCATGTATGTGTGTATGTGTGTATGTATGTACCTTGTATATGCCTGGTGCCCATGGAGACCAAAAGATGGCATCAGATTCCCTGGAAGTGTGGTTACATGATTGTAAGCCAGCATGTGGGTATTGGGAACCAAACACAGGGCCTCTCAAGAGCAGCAAGTGCTCTTAGCCGCTGAGCTGTCTCCAGCCTCCTCCGCCTGTTTTAAGCACATTCTAGACAAAAGCATTCCTCCTGTCTGCAGAAAGCTGCAAATATTCCCTGAGAGTGTTGCTTTGTCAGTTCCTGATAGCCCTCAGCTGCCTGTGCATACATTAGTGTAGCGACACCAGTTCCTTTGTTTTCCTTTCCGCGCTCCCTGTTACAGTATGCCAATGGGATGACGAAGAAGGTTTGGCCCCAGGCATATTTAGGCTCCTTCCCTCCTGCATTCTCAGGCTCTGGCCATGTAAGATTCCCTTGCCCCCTTGTCCCTTCCTTTGAGCGCTGTGACTGAACTGCCTATGTATACATGAGTCACAACTCCCTCTTCTGGCCTCCTTAGGCACTGCACATATGTAGTGCACATACATATATGCAGGCAAACACTCATACAAATGAAATTAAAATATTTTTAAAATATAAATAAGCTGGACATAGTGGTGCATGACTTTAGTCCCAGAACTTGGGAGGCAGAGGCAGATGGGTCTATGTGAGTTCAATGCCAGCCTGGTCTACAAAGTAAGTTCCAGGACAGTCAGGGCTACACAGAGAAACCCTGTCTCATAAAAACCAATAGACAGACAGAAAACTACTATAACTATTCTAGTACAAGTCTATATGGGTATTTTCATTTCTCCTTGGAAAACGGCTAAGAATTGAAAGGCTACATCTCATGGCAAGTATATGATTAACTTTTTAAGAAACTGAGAACTGGACTGGGGAGTTGGGTCCATGCTTAAAAACACAAGCTGAAATTGGGTGGTGGTGGCACACATCTTTAATCCCAGTACTTGAGAGGCAGAGGCGGGCGGATCTCTAAGAGTTCAAAGCCAGCCTGGTCTACAAATCAAGTTCCAGGACAGGCTCCAAAGCTACACAGAAAAACCCTGTCTTGGGGAAAAAAAAAACACACATGCACACACACACAATTTTTCCTCCAGAGGACTTGAGTTCAATTTTCAGCAGCCATATCAGGGAGCTTACAACCACCTATAACTTCAGGGCATCCAATGCCCTCTGGCCTTCTCAGACACTGGTAAACACATAAACATACACACACACACACACACACACACACACACACACACACACACACACACGAAGTAAATGTTTTTAAAAAGATAAAAAAAAGAATGAAACTATACCCTGTTATCCTAAATATACATTCCCATCATCAGGGTATGACTAATTCATTTAATCTTCACCTATGTGAAACTCGCAGCTTAAATTAGTGTGTTAAGTCCAGTCACTTGATCTCTGCCTGTGCTCAGGTGTCACCCCATGACCAGAATCCTATTAGCACACTGATCAGGGAAGTGCATGCACTTCAGGTCAGCATACACAGCGTTTTAATTCTTGGGAAACCTCAAAGGCTACAGTTCATGGTGATTCGGACTCTTCTGTGCGTCAGTAGGCGGGGTGGGATGCTCATGTTTCCCTCTAGCTCCACTTCCTCTAACCCTGTACCACGGCAGTAAACTCAGCCAGTCTTCCTTTTCCCCAGATGTGGTTTTGAGACAGAGTCCCACGTGGCTCAGGCAGGCTTCAACCCTGATATTTTGCCAAAGATGACCTAGAACACCTGACTTTCCTGCTTCCACCTGTGGAGATTTGGACTACAGGTGTGCAACTCCCACATCCATTTTATTTAGTGTTGTGAGTGCTACATCCATAGGTCCTAAATGGACTTCTGAACGGAGTTTCTAAATTACGTTTTATTTATTTCATGTGCAAGTCTCTGTGTGAAGTTTTTAAATTATATTTAGTATATGCCTGTGTGTGTGTGTGTTTGTGTGTGTGTGTGTGTGTATGCATGTGCACGTGTGTGTGTGGACACACATGTGCCCCGGCAAGTGTGTGGAGGTCAGAGAACATGTGGGAGTCCTTTCTCTAGTTACAGTGTGTATCATGTGAGTACCTGAATTAAACTCAGGCCAGGTCATCAGCTATTGTTGCAAGCACTTTTTCCAGCCCCTTAAATGATGGTTTTAGGACAATTTCAAGGAGTTTGAATTCCTCAAGTATTCACCTAACTTGTACTTCAGTATCAGCAATAATCATTATTTTTAAAATGGCCCATTCAAGCCAGGCGGTGGTGGAACACACCTTTAATCCCAGCACTTGGGAGGCAGAGTCGAGTTTGAAGCCAGCCTGATCTACAAAGCTACACAGAGAAACCCTGCTGAAAAAAACAAAGCAACAACAACAACAAAATAGCCCATTCAGAAATGATTGCTACACAACATAAGGACCTAAGTTGGATCCCTAATACCTACACAAAAAGTGGGGCACAGTGGCATATGCCCATAATCCTGATCCTGGAGAGGCATAATGAGGAGATCTCTAATGCCTGCTGACTAGCCAGTTGAGCTGAATCAGTGAGCTCCAGACTCAGCGAGGTACTCCTTCTCAATAAGGAAGACACACAACACTAACCTCTAGTCTCCATGTGCACACATGTATATACCTGCACACACACACACGTTACTCATGAACACAAACAAAAAATAACAAATAATATGAAAGTGAGTTTCTAAAATAAGAATTTGGTAGTCATTTGGGACAAATCACATGAAAAACTAATTAGTTTCCCTTTCCCAGGGGCCATGTAATAGCCAGTGGGAACATCAACTATGGCCTCAAGAAGACAGGTCTTGGGGTTATCCCCAAACCTAATTTAGTCAACGAAGAAGAACATGGCTGGAGAACGGGAACCTTCCACTTGTACATGGCAGTAGTTCAGGGTTCTAAATTCTGTCCAGAAAACAGGTGACAACATGAAGTAACAACCGTGAGGATGCCAAAGCTACAGCATGGCACTGAAACTTTGCTCTGATGAGGACCTGGGGAAGTGTGGGAGCAGATTGCACATTTGCCTCTGAGAGCGATGACTGGGAAAGCTTCTCTGCTTTCCTCTTGGTTCTCCTCCAGGTAAATATTTCCACATGGCCACTCCTGCTATTAAAGCAGCTGCATAAAACCAGATACATGGTCTTCCTGGAAAAATACAAGGTTTCCTATTTCTAAACCAATGTTTTTATAATCTTTTGTTCTGGCACTTTCATACCTTCTATATGTGGGCCACTTCCTGATATTTGGGTAAACTTTATAACGAATCAGGCCATGGCATATGTAAAGGACAAATTATGCCACCCCCATTCTCTGTGTCCAGCTTCATAAATAGTACTGGAGGGCTGGAGAGATGGTTCAGTGGTTAAGAACACTGGCTGTTCTTTCAGAGGATCTGGATTTGATTCCTAGCACCCATGCAACTGTTACATGCGTCTGTAAACTGCAATGAAAATCTAATGCCTCCTTCTGGCCTCCTGGAACAACAGGCATGCACATGCACAGACATATAGCAGGCAAAACACCCATACAAATGAAAATAAAAATTCAAAACTAAATAAAATAAACAGTGCCTGAGCTAGCAAAGGTGACCAAACAGCCAGGATCAGCTCGTGGAGCTGACACTAGACCGACCATTCTGCTTCCTTTCCTTGTATTGTAAGACCCTCAGAACGAGGAGTCTCCCTGTTTCGGTCAGTTCCCCCAAGAACTAAATGTCCAGTCCAGTTGATGCAACATGCAAGAGGTTTTAATGAATGGGAAACGTTTTTGCGCAAATGGTCCCCCTCAGCACGCAGGCTAGAAAGAAGCATCATTCTCCAGGCACAAGCATTTTTAAAGGCAAAACCCACAAGCTTAAGGAGGGGCTGTGACCCTCTGACCATTGAGTACGTGACCAGAGTCATGGGCTCTAGCATGCTCTTTATCGTTTTAG